AGGCTTAAAAGCGAAACTTTACATCAAATTTTTTACATGATTTCGAACATCAAAAATGGAAAAAAAACGAAAGGTTTGAAAAAAAATGTTAAAATAAAAAATAAATTAAAATTAAAAAATTAAAAATATGTTGTGTCGCTCCATTTAAAACAAAAAGTCTAGCATTTGTTTTTTTTATAAACTCAAAAAAAAAAAATAAAAAAAAAAAAAAATAATTAACAAGTGAATTTTGTTTATTGAAATTGTGTTGGTCTTTATGCAAAATATATAACACATAACACACAGCAAAACTGACGTTCTAATCAATCTTTTTTACGATTCATCGTTAGTACAATAATTAGCAATTAATTAATAAAATAGATCACCACAATCTTCCAGTCATCAGCAACAAAAAATACATCTCGTGAACTACGTTGAACTTTTTGTGACGATGTGTGATGGGGAAGTTAAAAATCGTAAAAAAGGGTGACGTCATTTATGGATGACCCCTTTATAAAAAAACGTCCGACAATTATATTCAACCAAGCTTCATGCAATTTGTGTTATGTATATTCCGATTCATGTTTTAAGTTTAGCAAGGGAGGGAACTTTAAATAAATTGCTTAAATAGTTAGAAATACAAGTCGGTTTAAAATACTTTAATAGAAAAATAAAATTATATAAATATTTGATTGAATTATTTTTTTTTCATTTATTGAACAGAAAAGTTAATGGGCCATTTTTTATGTACGTATTATATTATTTATGTAATCGTAACCAGATAAAGCAGTGATGTTTTTATTTCTAAATCCAACAACTCTCGAAATACTTCGTTCCAATAATGATCTTCCTCCAGCCATTATACAAATTGTGCTATCGCATATTTTTAAAACAATAAAACAAAAAAAGAAAAATTCATTTAAGTTTTTAATTAACTTATTAACAGAGAGCAAGTAGAGTCAAATGACTGCAAAAACTGAGCTGGGGGGGGCGTATTGAGTTTTTTTTTTAAAATCTGCATTGAATACATTTCAAATTATATGCAGTGTTATACAAAATGACTCATACATAAAATAGTAGAAAAGCTGCGAGTCTTAGGTATTTTCTTTTTGTTTCTTTGTGAAACTGGTCATTGCACCTAATGGAAATCGGTTTTTACGATAAGTAGACGCAGATGGCAGCTAACTCTATATAATCATACTATGCTTAGATGGTATATTATGCAATATAGTACATAATATTACATAAATCATGTGAGATCATATTATGCCGGGCTAGTCTTGTCTACATTTGGATGACAAAAACATGAAATGGACTACATTGTTAAAATGTTATTTTTGTATAAACACAAATAGTTCTTTATTGCATAGCGTTACTAAATAAGGGTTCATCAATTTATGACTTCCAGACAATTTTGGATTTTTAGTATCCCCCACCCCCCGTCCATACATAACGTTTCTTCTAGGCATCACTTCCGGGGGGGGGGGGGGGCGAATTTATATAGAAAATACATATTTTTACCAGCCCCCATCCCCCCACCCCTCCACCCCCCCCCCAAAATTAACTTATTAATTAACTTATTAACAGAGAGCAATTATATTTTTTAATCTGCATTGAATACATTTCAAATTATATGCATAGTTATACATATATGCATAGTTATACAAAATGACTCATACATAAAATAGTAGAAAAGCTGCGAGTGTTAGGTACTTTCGTTTTGTTTCTTTGTGAGACTGGTCGTTGCACCTAATGGAAATCGGTTTTTACGATAAGTTGACGCAGATAGCAGCTAACTCTATATAATCATACTATGCTTAGATGGTATATTTTCCAATATACTTCCGGGGGGGGGGCGAATTTATATAGAAAATACATATTTTTACCAGCCCCTATCCCCCCCCCCCCCCGAAAAATCAAGTCCCCCCCCCCCCCCCCTTCTGTAGAAAAAAGTCTGGAAGAAATACTGTCCATACATCTCCACTTTCGCCTTACATCATGTCAATGGGAGGTCGCTGTTAAATACTAATTTACTAAAACAAAAGCGCTTCGCCTGTTAGTGATAGAGACGATAATTTTACCGAATAAAGTAACATTAAAACTTCCATAGCAAGTAGCAGCAACTGTAATGACCACACGTCATAATGAGATCTGACGACTATTTGACAAATTGTATGCACGGGGCTTATGGCATGGAATACAGCTAAACGTTACACATAGTATATTATAAAAAAAATACATTATTAACTTTAATAGTAGACAAGGTTTTACAACTCCGTCTAGTTTCTTTTTTTTTGTGTGCTTTACATAGCTTACTATAAATTACTATAAAGAAAAGCGTGGGCCACTTTAGTATCTATTGGATACCTTTACTAATATTTAAGAAGAGACCCACGCTTTTCTTTTTAGAAATTTAAATAGTAGTGTATAATTTATTTTCTACTTTTTAGTGCATTTTTACATACAAGCTTGTTATTAAACGTTTTTTTATGATTTTTTTTAGTAATTTACATGTTTTTATTTACAATAGAGTTGCATGACTAAAAACTCATCTTATAAAGCATTAGGTACAATAAATAAATCAGAGTGATAGACATACCAATATTAAGCTTTGTGTGCTATGGTCAGTGTTGTGTGCTATTGTCAATGTGATATTGAGGATACAGTCTTTGATATAAATAGTGATATAAATAATTAAATAAACCTTAACATCATTTATGTAAAGGGATACAAAGCAAATGATAGTTAGACTTCTAGTCTTAAATATTGCAGTACTACGATTTCGGTCATACTGTGTAGGCTGAAATAAAACACATTTGTTCGGATTTGTCGAGCGTCGTATTCTACAAATTCTAACAAGTACAATATTGTTTGGCGTGATAATGCAAGACCCAGTGGCCTAGCTAGACTAAAGCGGCTACTTGAGTAGAGCAGAAAATAAAGCTCTCTCTCTCTCTCTCTCTCTCTCTCTCTCTCTCTACGCTGATTTACTACTTCTTCTTCCTCATTCTTGGAAGGGATCCCCTCCATTATAATTATGTATATGTCAATTGTTATGCACCATTCAGGCAATTGACCCAGATTTCAGCCTACTATTCTTTTGGATTTGTTTCCATAGCCTTTGTCCAACCAAGAACAAACTACAAGGCAGCAGTTGTTTGATTGTGGAGTTGTCTCTCCTAGAAGAGTGGAGTCCCCAGCTAACAAGCCTCATCTGCCGAGGGTTTGAACTCGAGACTTTTGGGTTTAGCAACCATGAGCTTGACCGACTCGACCTCGCCAACCTATGATGATTTACTTAATTACACTCAATTCCCTTACTTAATTTATTCTAAGCCGACACAAATGTAAACTCACCAAGTAATAAAGGAAACAATGAGTTGTCGTTGTATTGCTACATATTTTTAAAATACGATGTAGTGTAAGGTGATTATCTTGAGTATGTTGTGTGATTGCTTACATGTGAAAAAATTTAAGTGAAGTCAAACGTTATAAAATTAGGAGATCGGTGTGTATGTAATAATAACTCATGTTTCATTATACATTTTATTAAAATGCTAAATACGTTTTTATTGTTTCCAAAAGTAAATAAACCGGGAATGATCTCCCCTAAACTTTCTCGAATATTTTTATATAAAATAACAGGGGATGGGAACTCGGGCTATAGACATGATTTTTAATCCATTTTAAATACTTAAAGTTTTAAAAATAGAATAAAATCTCGTAGACAAATTAATTGCACACCAAGTGAACGCGAAATAAAAAAGCGCATAATAGTGCGCAATATTATTAGTACTTTTAAAATTTACATTAGTTTTTTGAGAAATCGGAAGTAGCGTAAATTACTACTTCCGGTCAACGGAAATTACTCAAAATTTAACAGAAGGTAGAGAATTAGATATTTTACTTACATGTGAAATTTCATTTATCTATCTGAAATAGTACTCAAGTTATAGGCTTTTGAAAAATTCAAAGTAGAAAAAGTACCACTTCCGGTTATCGGAAATCGCTCAAAAGTTGATACGGATCTACGATTTTGATAAAATACTTATATATGAAATTTCATCAACCTAGCAGTAACGGTACTCAAGTTATCGTGTTTACACACGGACACACAGACAGACACACACACACACACACAGACATACGGACAAGATTGCAAAATTATGTTTTTCCGTATCAGTGAGGTGTAAAACGTCGAGATTTGTAAAAATCTCGATTTTTTTTTTTGCACGATTACAATACTTTCTCTATACTACGTATATACGAGAAAGTAAAAAGTGTAACAGCATGCACTTAGTTCTTTGTTGCTCTAACTATTGTGTCGGTTTCAAATTAGTGTGTATATAATGTCCTATATACAAAAAAAGACCTACCTACCCATTGTCTGCTATTTTTTTTATCTATTGGAATCCCGTTCACAACAATTAATTTTGTTGTAAAAATGTTATATCTCCCTGGCTAACGAGACCTGAAGTTAAGTGAGAGAAAACGAGAACTTACAAGTCCTTTTGTGGGTATTTTTAGGCTCAGTCTAGGATTTCCGAATAAATGTTCATGAAACTGATCTGACAGTAACATTATTTCCAAGGTGCCGAAATGAACCTTGAGTGGTGGGGGGGGGGGAGGGGGGTAGAGATTGTGTCGATAGTAAGGATTTTTTTCTAATTCACAATTTTTTAATTATTTTTTTTCGTAAGCAATATTTAATAAAATTCATATACTGCACTATTGAACATATAGGCTTATAACAAATATTGTTTGAAGCAGAACTGTTTGAGAAACATTTGATCACTCATTGACCGAGTACTAATCACAAAGAGAGGTTCACATGGATCATCCAAAACACAGCTATATTCCAGGCTAGGAAAGGCTCTCTACATCATTGTATCATGGAGGGAGATAAAGTGTGATTCATGAAAGAGTGGGCCGTCTACTTCAGATTTCTGAAGACTAGAGTCATTTCGGCTTTCTCCTATCATCTCAGTTTTGGGATATCCACGCAGCATGACATCATCGTCTCAAAGTTCCATGTCATTGACATTGCTGACAATTTTCTTTAGGACACGTGTCTTCAGTTTGCCGTCCAGTTCAAGCTGCGTGAGTTTCTTCATGATGGCATCGCAAGACACGCTCATGTTGTTGCTGAGGACATGCTGTTTCATGTCCTCCAGTTCCTTCTTAATAATGTTCAGATCACTCAACTCGTCAGCCGAGCACGCCATTTTCATTTTCAAATCAGGCATCCGATTGCACAACAATAACAGGACCAGGCTGGCGAGGCTTATGCCAATCAGGGTGGGCAAGACGACGTTGTAGTAGTGCAGTAAGAACACGACGAGCCTCTCGGCCTTCAAGCGTCCAGACAAACCCGTCCCTTTGTGAGTCTCTGTAGCCAAAGACCCTCCCTCATCGAAACAGTTGGCTTTAATCCAGCAGATTTCAGCTCCTGATGACTCACACATCACGTGATCAGATTGAGACTTTATTATTGGACTTGACAAAGAGGCGGGGCTACAACCATTGCCTGGCTTGTCTTGAACCCTTGTGATATGACCGTAAGGCTCAGGTCTAGGGTACCCAAGGCGACGTTTGAAACAGTCTGTCTGCAATCAAAAATTGATCTCTACCTAATACTATTTTACAGCCCCCCCATATAGAGCAGTTTCCTTACAGTACGAAATTAGACAAACAAATAAATATTCAAACATGTAAACAAAGTTGAGTTTTAGTAGTATATAGATAAATACATTAGGTAGTAATGTACATGCCTTTATTATTGAGTATCGATAACGTCATTATTTCTGTGGCATTATATTTAATTACTCTAGAATAAATAAAGTCAATTTTCTTTTCGTGTAGCTTTGAAATAAACGCTGTGGTGAAGGAAAAATAAAAGTCAACGTCAGTCGGACGTGACAACTCACATCACCAGATAGGCCGAACTCGTGAGACGATGGGTGACTGTGACAGACCTGTACTACAGACACGGACACGATCTTAGGAACCATGTAGCGACAGTTGGCAGACCAGTTAAGGGAGACAACAATTAAAATATACACGCTTGCCTATAGGTTAGATCACTGCCCTTGTTTCCTAGACAGCAACACATAACTCACTAGACGTAGTTATAAGTTGCGATTAAAAGGTTCAACTAAACATTCATGCTTGAATACATATTGATCAGTATTGAATACATATAATTCGACCAATAATGCAAGCTGTAACTGTTATGATAACTTAAACGTTAGCCATATTTTATTTAACTTTAAGCATTCAGATCGTCTATAACGACAACAGATCGGACAGTGACATAATATTTTAGGGGGACTGTTTAAAAAAAAAAGTGTTTATATTGATGTAGATTATTCATCGAGTAAATGTTACCTTTTGAAAAAAAATTAAACGGCTAATGTTTACATGTATCGTGCTGTTGCCCATGTGCCTTGTGTTGTCTTAACATTAATTAGATTACATGTTGTTGTTTCTCTCTACACCAAATGTTCAGACACATTATAGAGCTGTTTTTCAAGGAAAACGTTTTTTTCATGTTAGAAAAATAAATTGTGTCGTTGTGCATTATTGGATACTTATTTCATATAGATGTATTGTAATAGGGAAAGTTTACAAGCTATGAATTCACTGATCGTAACAGTGCTTACATAATTTCTAGTATGTGAGTAGAAATGTAAAACTAATCTTTGGTTGGTTGAGTGCTGTCGGTTTGACTCGTGTCAGTATATCTGGATGAGTTGTTGGTATTTTTTTTTTATATTTTCTGTTGTTTTAGGCAGTTTTGGTCGTGTTTTCTTCTTGTGTAGTCAAACCGTTAAATTTTGAATATATGGTAATTTTAAAGCAGAACAGGACAATGTTAAAAAATATATATTATACCATATATTTTTACCTTCTGTGAAATCGATTCGTTAATGAATTGTGTGGTCTGGTCAGTGACGTAACGACCCATTCCTTCGCACGGGGCGACCTTCCAATTTCTTGGCACCCCCACCCCTTCACGTGAGATGTAAATATCGTTATCAACATTTTTCAGTTTTAATTTGGTGTTACACAATTAATGTGGAAAGCAATTTAATATTTCCGAATAGCCAAATGGCTGTCTATTTTCTTAATTTTGACTGTATGTCATATCAACTCTAGTTGGCGCACCCACATGGGTCGGCGCCCGAAGTCATCGCCCAACCTACCCTCCCCTAGCCAATAGGTCAGGTCAGCACTATGTATAAGGGCTATTGCTTTTATAAAAAGTTGTGTTTCACATACATATAGTACGTCTCAGAAATATTGATCGACAAATCTGAACAACGTTCTCATATGTCAAAAAATATTCCAATAAATATTTAAGTGTATTTGTTTTATGTTAGTCCTATTATCCACACTGACATATTGAGTCGAATATGCGTTTATCCAATTGTTGCATGAACATAATGGTCTATTTAGATTAATGTTACATTTTTTTAATATTAATTTTTACAGTTCTTCGTAACAAAAAAAAAAAAATTTCGTACAATTATTTTTACAATCAACGGGTAGGCCTCTTAAGAAAATAAAAAGTTTAAACATAGTGTGATGGTAGCAATGGATCTTTGTTTGGAGGTTCTTCTAGATGCTCCAGTTGTGAGGGTGTGGATTTTTACGAGGCGTATCGAATCCAATAACACACAGTTCAAGTTCCAAATACAAAGTTCTTTATTCAAATGTATATAATCAAGTTTCTACCTAACTAACTTATTCTATACTCTCTACTGTTTACTGCTACTACTGCTAACTGTTCACTATACTACTAACTACACACTCCCATGACCAATCCTAACACTAACTAACTGTTCTCTACATCACTACGTCTGCTCCATTCTACAGCCTAATACCTTCTCTACTCTTCGCTAGCTACCTATCAACTCCACTTAACAGCAGCCCACGCTTCAGTGGTCAGCTGAGCATACACGTGACCGGTCAGTTCACGTATTTTTATTGGTCTCTCTCTGACCAACTCGCTATAGCCTGCTTCTGCTATCTACCTGAGCTTTCCGACGCAACCTTGCGTCATCACACATAGTTTAAACCTTTAAAAAAAACATTTGATAAACTTTGGTTTAACACGATATAATGACTTTTTACACTAGTCTATAGATTGTTTTTTGAAAACAGAAAAAAAACTGTTCTCTGACTAATAGTACCTCAACCTACAAATAACAAAATTACAGTATGTTCTGAAGCTGTTTTCGATCTAGATTAATCCAGATCAAAACATTATACATTTACTTATCATTGGAACTTACTTTTAGAACAGACAGCAACCTTTTTTTTTTCAAGCCTAACCCCTTTTTGATGTCAACTAAAATACGTGTTTTCGCCATAAACAACCTTCTTTAGACAGTCAATGGGAAATTAATCTGGAAATACCACGAAACTCAAGAAAGTATTATTATCCTCCCCTACTTACTGAACACAATATAACTATTTTCAAATGACTGCTTATACACAGAATTTCAATTAACATAAGTGGCTTTAAAAATATTATAATTAATATAGTGTTAATAAAATATACAATACAAACTAGCCATTCATCTTGGCTGAAGACTTAAAATATGTGTACGAAGTAATGGCAATAATTGGACGAAAAGTGAGAATAGAACGATTTGCTGCTTTCGATACAACTACCATTGTAGTTAGTAATAACATAACACAACAAAGAATGCACACATATTTAGACCTTTATATCTAGCCATTGTTCGGACTCCCGATTCGAGTCTGTAGTACGTCCTTATTTCCAACCAGCTCAGATGGGAACCTGATTAACATTAGGAAAAACTGAAGCTATAGCTAAGACCTATGTACATAATCCTTAACAGATAGTACACTTTGATCTTATTCAAAATACAGAGAAGAGATTCGGTGCAATCAGTCACTCGACTACTCCGACCACTACTTTAAATGGCAGGTTCAATAACTTAAGTAATGATTGTATCAACATAATGCCTGCCATATTGAACACATACACAACTTTAAATTGAGCTACATTTGACCAGCTACAAAAGTGACGCCTACGTATCTTATATGGTTACATATTTTTTATTTTAGTTAATATTAAATGTATCCATTAGATTCGTTACAGTGTTGCCCATATTGTTTTAATGTTTTTTTTTTCTTCCGATATCAGAAAAGTATTTACCAATAATTTGTTTTTCTTTTTTGGATATTGTGCAAGGGAATTAATTACCTATAAAACATACCATTTTATTAAAGAAATAAAATATTTTGAAAAATCAGTCATACCATTACATATTTGAAATATTACATACCAAAAATATTCATTTAATTTAAACAAGAGTTAAAACTGTAGATGTTTTATTGTTTCATGTTAAAATATTACTGTAATTGATAATTGAAACACAGTAGCTATGTTTTGTACTATTCTGAAAGACATGCGAAGATATCTGTTAAACAATTCTTCCAGTTGACCAAAAATAGTTTATTATATTTTCCCTATTCATTTCAAAGATAATCTATATGACGGCTTGCTACAATCGGCATTATCATTATCATTAAATGGTTATAAAAATTAAATAGTTTTGTGCTCAAGGACATTGCATGAATCTTTTGTCTAAAATGGTGTCAATTGTGGATCCTTGTGTGTATTTCCATTTGGAACTTGTGTGTGTGTGTGTGTTTTCCACATTTTATACATTGTAAGTACTTTTTTTTCTTTTTCTATTCCTTGTGTGTGTTGCCTGGCCCCGGGTGGGCCTCATGCACAACTATGTCAGAAAAATACATCAAACGGCTATTCCTGCCTAAGTTTGGCATGGCAGGACATGCACCAAAAACTCTAGAGATTTTCATGGAAGAGGGTTTTTCTTTAGCTACCCTCACAGCTGTCGAACTAAAAAGAGAGCTATGTATGCTATGTAGCCTATCACCAGCTGAATTTGAGGGTCTGTATAACTACGGGACACTGCGTAAATGATATGTCACCATTAGATCAAAGGAACTATTTGAGAAAAAGATAATCTATATGTATTTTGAATTTAGAACAAACACAAACTACCAAGACTTTTGTACATTGCCATCATTTTCTATGGTAATGTGTATTGTATTACCCCACTATTACCAGTAGAACTCATAATGTGTTGAACTGTATGCATATCATTTTTCGCTTACAACAGTGTACACGCTATAAAAGAGATATTCAATACATAACAACATATCTGGAGAGGGGAGGGGTTAGAAGGAGGTTTTGGTGGCGATGGAGAAAAAAAGAAAACACACGTTTGTTTTAAATAAAAACTAGAAAATGATTATTATCATTTATTTTGCATACTCAAGAAAATCAAGCTAAATTAAGATTTACGATGAAAAAACATTGAAAAAAACAACATAAAATAAAGGATGTATAATGCAATTTTGATAAAAATTTTGGTAAAATGAGGTGTGATATCATTTTAGGGTAAGCACGAATTGACATGACCACAACAAAGGCATAAGTTGCTTATCCTCAGATTTTTAAAATGTCTTTTGAGGTAGATTGGAGTGGTTCTATTATAACACACTGACGAGAAGCCATGCTGTTTGTATATATATATTTTAT